AGCATTCTTCTCCTCTTGAACAGCTCAATGCATATTTAGCCCGTAAATAGGTCAACGTCACTGGAATATGCCGGAGATCAACACGAAGTGCAGAAAATAACCTACAAACGCTCAGAGATTCTGCTGCCAGCAGACATGCGATAGAGGAGAAAAAAAGCCCAGAAGACGGGGAGCTTAAATACGGAGAAGGGGATGATTGGTGAGGGACCTCAGCTGAGGATGACTGACAGGTGTGGAAACCACAGCTGGAGACCAGGGGACGATGATGTTAACGGCGAGAAGACAAATGTGGGATGAAAAGAAGCAGACTGAGAACAGAATGAAATGATCAACCCATGAAAATACTCAAAAAAAGACGCAAAATACAAAACGCCTGCTCGTTCTCACACAGGTGTCATGTGACATCTTAAAATTGAAGTCAGTTTATGTACATTCACTTAGAAATTTTCCAATGGTAAAAAGTAAGATTTTGGATTAGACTTATCTGCATCTGTTCCGGTCCAAACATCTGGTGCCCCCCTAGGGAGAATAGTAGAACTGTTCTGAAATTTATAGATTAAAAAGCAGCTTATTGGATATACGGCATTTATTAGAAAATGGGATTTACCTCCTGCACACGGCTGATTACCCGAGCATTGACAGATTGCATGAGACAGCGTGTGGGTGGAAGCCCTGACTAAAGGCGTGTGACAATTAAAGCGATGATAGGTCAGGAACAGCAGAATCTCTCCGTTGTGTTCGGAATACATCTTTATTTACCTGAAAACATCAGGTGCTCGTTTTACTTCCCTTGGGTTGGCTTTAACACGAACCGATGACAATAACTTTATCATTTATGCTCTTATCCAGAGCAAAACATGAGATTTTCTTTGGGACACACTGGTGAGATTATTATGTAATTCATAGGTCTCCACCCAATCTCAGTTCTACCTGATCAAGTTTTTGAGGAAAACCGCATAACAAACTGTCACATTTCTGCCGGGAATAAAGTGCTAGAGCAGTGCTGCAACCATTGGCTGATAATAAATTCAGTTGTTTGTCTGCAGCATAATCACACATTACATCTACAAAGTGTCCAACCGGATGACGAGATGTCAGACGTGTGCTTTTCACGGCTGCGTGGCGTCCAGAGTGTGACAACAATGGCCCCAGACGTGGCCACTGGAGCTTTGTGGTTTTATTGTGTTTTATTGTGTGGCGTCCGGGCGGAGGATATTAGATAAAGCTTGAGTCACCGGCTGGTATTTTTGAGAATCTCCAGGCTCGGCGAGATCGACACAAGCAGGGAAAGGTCAGCCCGACGGCAGCCTGGACGCCAGACTCTTTGTGGAACGAAAGCAGGTCATTAGATTTTAGCCTTTAAACGTATCTGATCAATGTAAAGTTGAGGAGCTTGAACTAATGTTGCAGTGTCACCGTGTTCCAGCCAAAACACGCTTCTTTTCACCACGCTGACATTTGCAGGACAAAAAATATCAGTTATGTATTTTTTTTTAATAGACATTCATGGTTTCTGAAAAAATAATGTTAGTCCTATAATGCCACATGCATCATATATGCTACATAGGGTTTCTTTTGCATCTGAGAACTTTTGCATAATTTAATGGGAAAAACACAGTTGTGCATAATCAGATATACCTGATAACAATGAGGAGAAGACAACATGACAATAATTTGACTTATTACACAGTAATAAATTATGCATATTAAAAAATATATGTTTTTTCCCCAGAAACATATAGGCTATCTGTTATTTTGTTAAAGGGCCAAATTAAAACAAAGACTATAAAAAAACAAAATATTCTCTATATAATTTTCATGGATAAAGCTTTAAAGGGTTTTGTCTTCTGTAAACTTTGTTTTTTTAATTCCCTGTCTTCAAAATGTGAGGCATTGCATCAGTTTGTACATTCCTGTCTTTAAAACTTTGAGAGCTTTCTCTGTGCGTTCAGTTATCAGTCACAGAAACAACTGCTTTACCATCAGTGAAAAAAACATTCAGAGAGGATGAGAGTGGAGGGCGGGTTTGCTTTTTGCAGAAAAAAGCTGAAAAAGGTCAAAGAGATGTTCATGCTTGGATTCATTGGATAAATTTGAAGAGTGATTGAAAGCAATCAATCATGCTTTACATAGAATCCACATGGAGCTCGGTTTGTGTATTTAGTCATGTAGTTTTAATCTGTTATTCTGTCACAACTTATTTTTCAGTGCATTGACAGGTTGCAAAAGAGTAGGAATACAGTCCTTTGAGATATTCTGTCTTTTCTACTTTCGCAACATTCTATAAAAAATGCATCACTGAGCACATTCAGGATTTTTAGCTTATTTCCAACCTCACACATCCGGGGAACGTAACCCCCGGCTCACCTGGGGAATTTTCTGATCTATTTAGAAGACGCTCACTGAGCAGCACCACCGTTCAACCTTTCCTGTTAATCTGCAGGGATTTCAGGTTCAAAGAGACTTTCCTTGACATCGGCTTGTTTCCCCTGGAGGGACAATAACAGAAAGCAGAGTTCTCGGGTCTTTTCTTAG